CTGTAGAGAGTCCAATTGCTCGAGCTAGGCGAGAGGAGGAAGATTGCGGATTGAAGCCGGATCATGGTTGAAGCTTTCCGTCTATGTCTATGGGTTGACTACTTCTTTTCACCGGTTCAGAGCCCTAGCCCTAGTGCTCGTATTAAGGTTAGGGCCTTGTCGGCTAGTTTTCTCTTCCCGGCTGTCTGTCTTTACTTTAACTTTAGTGTTTCAAAACCAACCTTCGTTGCTGTAGCTTGCAACAAGTCTTCTCTCCCTGATCTTAGTCTCGTTCGTGTCTTCAGTCACTCAAGCTATAGGATTGTTTTCTTTACCTACGCGTACCGGACAACTTCAATGCAATCATAGACATTCTGACCCCGCCCCGTTAGAGGCCGGAAATTCAACATTAGCAGCTACCATATAGCGTATTATCATTTAGATTCTTACTGAACAGTCCTTTTACGTTCCTCTCGCTATCGAAACCATTTCGGTCTAGAAAAGGCGTTATAAGCCCCGTTAGAAGCCTTAGAATGAAGAAAGAATTCATTCCCCCGTAAGTCACATCCCCTATCTCTATAAGGCCGTAGGGTTGAATTAAGAATTGATATTGCTTCTGTTTGTGACCCCAGCAATCAAACTCAATAGCTAATGCGCAGGTATGAAATCGGTCGAGTTTACAGTCGTATAACTAACTAAATCCTATAGCTTGAGTGAAGTGAGCCCCATATAGTAGGGAAAGAAGACTGAGCGCGTTCTGTGTAAAGTTCGAAATTGAGCGCCTTAGCTCGGCTATGACTTAAGGCCTTTAAGAAGATAAAACATTCCCTCAGTTCGGAGTCAGAAGGATCAGAGTAAGCTTTTGAATAGATATTCCAACCGTGAAAAAACTAAAGCTACTAACAAGCTTCATTCCATTTGCCGGTGAATCAACATCTTTTGAGCTTACAGAATGACTTTCAACTCTATTGTATGTTATACAATTTGTATTCTTCTTCTCCTTAGCTATAGGCTTGAGCACTTTCAGACCTCTCCTTACCCTATTAGTCTAGGCGAGAGCTTCACGCCACTGTACACTGTACCTACCGGGAATATGTATCTTTCTTTCCATCTCCTGGGCGTAAATAGAGAATGGAATGATTTATCTTAGTATCGCAACTTCACTTCAGTAATTCTTTAGTTACAGTCCGTTCAATGAACTGAACTTCATGTCTTCTGATTCCCTGATCTTAGTACCGTAGCCGTAGGGGGAATGGAAGGCTAGTTAATCTTTCTTCCCCTATCTCTATAAGGCCGTAGGTTAGGTTAAATAAGATTGATTTCTAGTCTAGTTTCAATCTTTTAATATATAATAAGTCTCGGGGACTCATCCCCGAACCCCTCCCGTTACAGTCTCTCCATGATCTGATCTTAGTATCGTAAATAGATTCACTTCTTAGTAGCCTTTGTTTGTGCCCCGGGGCCCTAGGGATTAATTAAGAAAGAATATGAAATCAAATCCTAACTGCTAAAGTAGAACTGATAGTAGTAGCGCATCAACAAGTGCCTTAGAGTTACATTGAACCTGAGCAGGAATTCAATTGCCATTGATTCTTTCAACCTAGAACCTGTACTAGATTGTAAGCTATCAGGGCTCTTTGTCAGAGCTAAAACCAGCTCAGGGGTCAGGGGAAGGGGTCGTGCTTCATCAGAATTATTAGTTTTAGAGAACATGTTCTTTGAGACTGTCTTCCAATCCTATGCCTCACTTCATTTCATTCACTTCGGCGGAAAAGATTGTTTCAGAGTCCCAATCCTGTTGTTCTGACTTTAAGTTTTTTTCTTCTGACTGAGTCTTGATCCCATTCTATCTCTCCTTTTTGAGGGAAAGAGAGGGGTGGAATGAAACATTCTATAATGGATTCTTTCTCCACTTCTTCCACTGAAACCTACCTCTCTTCATGAAGTTCAGTAGCTGAAAGAGAATCAATAGAAACCAGGGACAGAGCTTAGTTTAAAAAGACTATGGTCAGACTGTCGAATCCAATAGGGAAGAGTCCAGCAGTCAGCCATTCCGCCCTTTCTAAGCCCGCTTCTGCAGAACTCTTGGGATGGGACTAAGATTCCGTACCTAGTACAGTCAATCAGAGGATTAGACTATGTATGGATGTAGCTTACCCGAGATAGGTAGAGGAAGAGGAGGCAATAACTTGCTCGGCATGTGACTTCTACGGCAATCCCATGTCTTCAGGCAAGGTAGCGTTAGCTATCCTAGGTTGTGAATTGAAGCTTTTTCTTCGCATTGCAAATCAAGATCAAGGTTTTTTATTCCTGTGAGCGAAGGAAAGCTTTGGAATTGCAAGCTCCAGCTTTGGAAGAGAATTGCTAGTTGCAGAATAAGATCAGTTCCTGCTCAAGAAGTTGGACTAGCTGCTCCTCCGACCCGGAGTAGATTCTAGGGGAAGGGCTGAGCCTCACCTTTCAGTAGGAAGGTCTTCGTTGCTGGAACGGGTTCAAACTGGTGAAGGGAGGAGGAATTCAATACTCCGATCTTACTGGGGATTCATCACAGGCTAGGGCTTTCGAATTAAAGCATGCAACTAAGAGGGAGCAGTTGATCGTCGATTGACGAGCCGGGTCAGTAAACTTATATTCTATTGGGACTTCTATTGATTATTGATTCGACTATAGGGGCAATGAGAATTGTTTTAGGACCACATACCATACTTGATTGAGACCCCAAGGGAGAAGCAAAAGCTGGATCGACTCTAAAGTCGAGTAGCTGTACTTGCCTTTTTCTTAGAGTGGATTTAGGAAGAAGTGGAACTCCGATGATAACGTAGTCTTGCTGCATCCCCTGAAGGATAGGTTAGCCCTTTTTCCATCTCTATCAGTTCACTCCTATTCTTCCAGAGAGGCCCCATAGAGGAATTTGTTCACATAAGGAAGCTTAAACAAGACGAATTCTTCAAATGCGGTCCGAAGAAGGGAAGGAAGTGATTTGATTTCAGGAAGGCGCCCTTAACGTCATTCGATGGTGGGGCTTGGTCTCGCTTCAGAAGGAATTGGGTTCGGGTGGGTCTCATTCATTCATCGAAGTACTTACATAATGAATAAAGATGAATGGTACAATTTATTATCTGAAATAGAGAACCTACAGATCTTTTCTCTATGTAAGTACTTCGATGAGCTATCTTTGGAGGACAATAAAGGTACATCTGAATCTTAGAATGCTACTTTAATTACCACCCCGGAAAGTAAGTGATCAGACAAGTGAGAAAATCACTCAATCCAGTCTCTGTCTCCTACAAGCTAATAAGATCAGACATATCTAAATAGATACTCCTATTCCGGACATTGAATAAAATCAGTCCGGCAAGCTATTGATAAGGTAAACAGTACAGGCTAATCTTGAATGGATACAGTCGATCTGCCTACCATCCTTGATAAAACACTGGAAAGCCGGAGTCCTCACCTGCTGACCAAATGCAGTGAGTTCACTCACGTAGCCCGTATGGATTTCGTCTCTCTCCTATCTCAACCTGCAGGCAGGGACTGGAGACTAGAGGAACCCCTGCCAACGGGGTAAGAGGCAATACCGACGACCACCCTGCCCCTACCCTGACAGACCCGAAGCGGAGCATGGGATCTGGATCTTGAAGAGCGGATTGGATCCTTTTTCGATAAAATCCCAAAAGGGGCGACTCTTGATGGAGTTGAAGCGTCTAATGCAGCTAAGTCCGCTACCCGAATTGCTCCTTTCAAAAAGGTAACTAACTATAAGGCATTGATGTTCCTGAACCTTATTTAGGCAGGTACCCAATAATAAGTAATAAGGATGAATTGCGCCTGAAAAAACATGAGTGAATTGAGTTCGTGAGCGACTGAGTTGTGGCAGCTAACCCGCATGCAGTTTAGTCTTTAAATTGAAATATAATCAGGAAGGCCAAGAAGTACGAAACCCTAATGGGGTCGCCCAGCATGACCCAGAAAACGAGGATTGAACCTAGCATTTAGAGGAAAGACAACTGGCCATTCTTAAACAAGTTACGTGAAGAACAGGCCTTGTCACTCTTCAGCTCCTCCCATGAGTTGGAGAGTCTCTTTCGCTCATTCGCTTCTACAACTATGCCTTCCTCACTCCTAAATTCATTTCACCAGTGAAAAAAAAAATAACGTAATCTAACGGTTGTGTTCCTGACGCTAACCTGGCCAAAAGACCCACCATTATGGTAACTCCGCCGTGTGTTTTTTGGATCAAATCCGGTGACAATTCTCCACTCATGTCCTTCCAGAACTGGGTAAGTGATCTTCAAGGGCATCCCCCCGATCAATTCCTCCCAGCGCTCCTCAATCAGATCCATAATTGCTGTTGCTTGTGCAGGAGTAACTAGAGAAGAACACTTTAAATTAAAATGCAGTTTACAACTAAGAACCGCATGAAGTCCATGCAAGCCGGGCTGATCATCCCGTGATTACTAACTTCTTCCTTCGTCGAGGTAAGGCGGCTGATTGTTTGACCTTGGTTGGTCTCCTCTACGGCACGTTCTTTTTTCTATGTAGGGCAAGTTGATCCCGAGGTCTAAAATAAAACCACTAACTTCCGGCCGGATTCAAAGCCACAGCGTACCGATACGACGCGGATCGGGAACTTTTTCTTTATAATAAAAATATCAAAATGGGCCTTTCGAATGTTGGTCTTATGATCGTTCTTTGGTTTGAAGCAGCCTATTTGCTTTTCCACCGACCTCAGTGTTGGGCACGAAGACTTCTATGTGGGCTATCTTTCTTCCGGGAGGTGCTCGACCACATAAAGGTCATTCTATATTCTGCTACGCTTTATAGGGTTTTTAAAAAGGTTTGTGTGCTTTCTCATTGCCTCTTTGTTTACGGGGTAGAGCTATTACTGGGGTAAACTCTCACTATGTACCTTCCTTTGGTTTGGGTACATAGGTCGAGCTGATCACCTCTGTTCTTTAGCAGATAGGCACTCCATGATTTGGACTTCTTTTTTACTCAATGAGGCAAGCAAAAATTTGATC